GTCCTTTTAATATATATATATATTACACATATTATTAATTTATTCCTCCCCCCCCCCTCTCTCTCTCCCTCTCCCTGTGCAGACACATGTGCTTGCTGTATACCCACAGAGGCCAGGAGAGGGTATCAGATCCCTGGGAGCAGGCAATTGTAAGACACTTGATGCAGCTACTGGGAACTGAATGCTGGTCCTCCACAAGAGGAGCAAATGCTCTTAACCACTGTGCAATCTTTCCAGATACTTGTTCTGTGCCCTTTAAGGTGTGATAAGAGTCAGCAAGATGACTCAGTGTGTAAAGGTACTTGCCATACAAGTCTAACAACCTAGGTTCAATCCCCAGAACCCACATAAAGATGGAAGGAGAGAGCTGACTTCTGAAAGTTGTCTTCAGGCACATCCATGCCTAAATATACACACATTCACACATATCATAATACATACATACATAAGATATACAATGATAAAATAAATTTAATTTTTAATGTGGTACAATACAGATACTACATCATCCTGTCCACTTTTAAGTGCACAGTTAAGTTCACTAGCATCGTTTTTCCTACCCAAAATTCTAGAACTCTTTTCACCCTACAAACTAAAATTTTTATGCATCTTAATCAGCACTATTCCTATCTTATCAGCCCCTGGTAACCAATATGAATTTTATTGCTCTAGGTACTTCATATAAAAGGTTTAAAAAGATATTTGTCTTTTTAAAAGATTTGTTAACATGCCATGCTGGTCATTGTCATGGCTCATGGGTGTCATAGCTGGGTAGGACTGTTAGTTGCTTCTCTCCTTTGGAAGCTTGCATGGTACCTTGTGGTAACATGAAAGTCAGTCCTCAAGAGGAGGCTCTCAGGGTCTCTAGGCACTGTGTCTTTGGGAGCAATAGTGGCCTTGGCAGTTAACCTGAAGCTCTCTGATTTGATTTAAGACACAGTGAAGGCCGGGAAGTTGTGGCACACGCCTTTAATCCCAGCACTCTGGAGCAGAGGCAGGTGGATCTTTGTGAGTTCAAGGCCAGCCTGGTCTACAAGCACTAGTTCCAGGACAGGCTCCAAACTACAGAGAAACCCTGTCTCAAAAAACAACAACAACAAAAACAAAAAAAGGCACAGTGAAGAAGAAAGAAATCATGCCTGGCACTGGAAACCTAGTCAAGTAGACAGTGCTAATCAAGTCAAGGATCTTGAAGAACCTACAACCACACTTTATTAAACCGGCAAAATCCCTACCTACATTACTTATGCCCACAGATAAGTTTCCTCATTACGGAAACGTCTCTTTGCAACAGTCAGAGACCATTACAGAAAATCCCAACTGATCAAAATGCAGGGTTGTGGAGCCCCGTTCCAACGGACACATCTCCTACACCTGACGCTCAGACATCATCAGCAGAGGTCAGAACGGTTGTAGGAACCACAAGCGCAGGGATGTTGTGCCTCCTATGAACATCAGAAGCTACACCCATGCCATCTCACCAGTATGACTGCCTAAACCTGGCCTGAACAAGGGGAACACCGAAAGTCATGCCAAAGTGGATGGGTGAAATCTCATGAGGCTCAATCCTAGACAGAGAACTATGGGAAACCAAGAAGAACCAAGAGCTGGAAAATTAGCCTTTCCCCAGGAAAAGCACACCAGGGAGTTCTCCAAATGGTCAGCCATGAGAACATGTGCATACAAGTACCATTATAGAGAATGAGCGGGTTGTGTGTATGTATTTAGGAAACACACATATAATAATGTAACAACAATTAAAAAGAGACCATGAATTTGAGAGGGAGCAGAGTGGGGGGTGGCATATGGACAGGTTTGAAGGGTGGAAATAGAAGGGGGAAATATATATACATATCAAAAAACATTTAAAAATTTTGTGTGTGTGTATGTGTGTGTGCGCGCGCGTGTGTGTGTGTGTGCAGAAAAGGGTGTCAGATGCCATAGAGCTAGAGTCATACATAGTTCTGAGCCACCTGACATGAGGGCTGGGAATCAAACTCAGGTCCTCTGCAAGGGCAGTCTATGCTTTTAATTGCTGAGCCAATCCCTCCAGCACACCCCCATGTTTGTCTTTTTATAACTGGTTTGTTTCGTTTAGCAGATCGTCCTCAAGGTTTATGCTTGTTGTGGTATACACACACATTGCACAAGCTCCTTCCTTTTAGAAGGCCAGCAATAGACTGTATGCACATACCACAGTTTTGCTTGTCTGTTTGCCTGGTGATGGGCAGCTAGATTGTCTCATCCTTTTGACTACTGTAAACAGTGCTGCTGTAAATGTAGGGGTAGACCCTGCTTTTGGTTCTCTTGGATACATACCCACAAGCAGAACTGCTGAACCATGTGGTACTTTTATTTAAACTTTTTTTTTGAGAAGTAGCCTTACTACTTGTACTGTAGCTGTACAGCGGGTACAGCATTTGGCTTTCCGCAACAGTGCACAAAGCTTCCAGTTTCTCTATATTCTTGCTGGCACTTGTCACTTTCGGACTATGAGTCTTTGGTTTCATTTTCATGGTGGCCATTCTAATGAGTGTAAGGCACAAACTCACTGTGGTTTATTTATTATTTATAACAACTATTTGCTAAAATAGCAAAACATTAAGTATTCTGGATACCACCAACTATTTTTTTTTCTTTTTAATCTTTTGTTTTGGTTTGGTTTGGTTTGGTTTTTAGAGACAGGGTTTCTCTGTGTAATCCTAGCTGTCCGAACTTGCTCTGTAGATCAGGCTGGTCTTGAACTCACAGATCTCTGCCTGCCTCTGTCTCCCAATGCTGGGATTAAGAACATATGCCACCTCCAGACCATCCACTGTTTATGCTATTACAAACTGTCTAGATTTTAAGGCACTTTAGGGTGCATGCTTTTAACATTTATTCGCTATACTTAAATATTTTAGAGCTAGTTGTGAGCACTTGAGAGGCAGAACAATCAGGAGGATCATTCTTCACTGTATATTAAGTCTGGAGCTCGCTTTGGCAACATGAAACTCTATCTCAAAAACTAAAGAAGAAAAAAAGAACTTTACAACCTTGCTGTAAAGAAGAGACAGATGTAGTCTCAAAGATGATGCACTGGTTAGGTGTTGATAAATGCCTATAATTCCAGCACTTGGGATGTGGAACCCATGAGTTCAAGGCTAGCCTGCTCTACATAGTGGGTTCTAGACTAGCCAGAGCCAAACAGAGAGATCCTCTTTTTAAAAAACTAGCAAAAGTATTAAAATGCCTATCCAATAACATTGATAAGTTATAACAGAAAATGGCAAAACTGTGGTAGGCTGGCTTCATTAGGAAAATGCTGTACAAAAGAACTAGTGCCTAAAACCATTTTTGAGAGGGTGGGCTTAAATGATCTAAGATGAGAGAGAATGAAATTCTTCATTTGATTTATTAATTTCTACATTATTTCAGGTCCACTTACTGAACTTCTAATTCATACTGGGCAGTGTATATAGTATGGAGGTTGTCTCTCAAAAGCAAGAAAGACATATGGGTTATGAATAGTGAAAATCTAAGGTGCCGAGTGTGTACAAGGTATATTGAACCCCTCCTTCCAGAGCCCTCTGATCTGTTAAGCATGCTATCAGCTCCTTTTACAGTGAGTCATGAAGGGAGAATATAAAACACATTTTCTTTTTGACTATATTTGTACTTAATCATTCCAAACAGAACACAGCCGGAAGTTCCCTACTGTGTCTTAAAAACTAGGCTGTATTCAAGAATCTAAGATGCTGGCGATTTAGCTAAGAGTCCTCATATCTATCACCTCATTAGAGTTTTTCATTCATATATATGTGCTAGACTTTCGGAAAACAAAGAAAAATGAGTAATACGCAGATCCTACCCTCCAAGACCTCAAAAATACTATCATATAATAAGGGTTGTGGTAGAGTAATAGAAGAAAGGATTTTTTTTTTCAAGACAGGGTTTTGCTGTGTAGCGTTGGAGCCTATCCTAAAACTTGCTGTATAGATCAGGATGGCCCTCTGCCTCCTGAGTGCTGGAACTAAAGGCAGGCGCCACCACCACCTGGCAGAGGATTTTTATCCCCTCCTTGGAAATAAGTGTCCTTTGACCTCTGCACACATGATATGTATGGCATGCATTAACACCCACACACAGAGTAAGTGAATAAATGTAAAAAAATGTTTAAAAATAATTCAAGGTGAAGGTTGAAGGATCATAAGTTTGAGGCTATGTACCAATAAACAAAGAAAACAAAGTAAGCACCAAGAATTTCTTCTCACATTTCTCTCAAATAGTTCCACTCCTGCCACGCACGATGGTACATGCCTTTAATCCTAGCATTCCAGAAGCAGAGGTAAGTGAGTTCGAAGCCAGCCTGGTCTACAGAGCTAGGTCATTCAGCTTACACAGAGAAATCCTGCCCAAGACTGCTTGTGAGGAGCCTCACTTTATCTTCTGTCAAGGTCAATCCAAAGATGAATTTAATCTTGGCGTTATAAAATGTTTTCCATTAATATTTCAGTGCCTTTCCTCACCAACATTAACTTTTGAAGGCCCCATACAATGAAGTACTCACAGCTAAAATGGGGTAAAAAGGTCTAGATTTCTGCGTGGGGTAGTATCACTACCTTACATTTTCAATATATATATATATGTTTTTTGAGACAGCCTGGCCTCAAATCCACAGAGATCTACCTCCCTCTGCCTCCTGAGTGCTGGGATCAAGGGCATGTACCACCATGCCCAGCTCCATAAGACATGTGGGTGATATTTAATTTTTTACTTACTAAGCAAAAAGATAGACTAAAATCCATGTTTTAAATTATTATTATTATTATTATTATTACTACTACACACATGTGCCATAGTGCACTTGTTGTCAGAGGACAAGTCTCAGGAGTCAGTTTCAGGACTGAACTCAGGGGATTAGTTTGTCAGTGATTTAGGCACTGTTCTATTGTTGTGAGGAGACACCATGACTAAGGCAACTTTTATAAGAGAGAACATTTAATTTGGGGTTTACTTACAATCGCAAAGGTTTATTCCATCATCATCTTGGTGGGAAGCATGATGGCATGCAGGCAGCACTGGAGCCATAGCTGAGAGCTACAGACTGATCCATAGGCAGAGAGAGAGAGAGACTGAGGCTAAGACTGGATCTGGCATGGACTCTTGAAACCTCAAACCCACCCCCAGTTATACAAGGCTACATCTCTTAATCCTTATAATCCTTTCAAACAATTCCACTCCCTCATGACTAAGAATTCAAATATATGAGCCTATGGGGGCCATTCTTTTTTTGTTCTCTCTCTCTCTCTCTCTCT